CGATGAAGATGAAGACGAAGAAGGGAGGGACGGGGAGGAAGAAGAGGGACGAGATGAAGCTCATCGAGGACCCGGCCAAGCGGCAGGTGGCCTTCTCCAAGCGCCGCCCCACCCTCTTCGGCATGGCCGGCGACCTCTCCGCGCTCTGCGGCGTCCACGTCGCCGTCGTCGTCTTCTCCCGCTCCGCGCGCGGCAACGCCTACGCCTTCGGCAGCCCCTCGGTCGACGCCGTCCTCCGACGCTGCCACCACCACGTCGGCGGCCAAGATGAAGATGCCGCTCTTGCCATCGTCCATGGCGACGATGATGATGCTGGCGCTCTGGCGGCGTTGCGGCGGGAGCTGGACGACACCAAGGCGCGTGTGGAGGCGGAGAAGAAGCGCATGAAGGCCGTGGAGGCCAACGTGGAGCTGGCCATGGCGGCAAGGTCCACGGCGCTGTGGTGGCAGGCCGACGTCGAGGCGCTCGGGGCGGCGGAGCTGCCCGAGTTCGAGACGGCGCTCCGGCGGCTCAGGGACACACTCCTCCGCCGGGTCGACGCGCTGCAGCTGCCTCTAGCAGTCTTCGACGCCACTGCACCGCTGGCCTGCATGAACATCTAATTAATCTAGCGGCTAATTAGCGATGCCTAGTTTCTCAAAAAAATAAAAATATTAACGGTGCCTACTACATCTTCAATCTTATCTCAAAACTACTTATGCATGCATTATGTGTACTACATCTTCAATCTTATCTCAAAACTATTTATGCATGCATTGTGTGTGTGTGTGTGTGTGTGTGTGTGTAATCCTTGCACCATCTAGGACATGCACTAACGTCACGAAGCTCTGAGGTCTTAATTAGTGGCTTGTTTATTACTCCCTCCGTAAACTAATATAAGATCGTTTACATATCACTAAAGCAGTGATCTAAATAATCTTTTATATCACCACAGCTACAACAGTATTCCAGCTCTAGTCTATGTGTCATGCATTATGTGCGTATATATTAATTGCCGACCAATTACCTAGTGCATCACCTTCAGTTATAGTACCGATAAATTGCTGCCCATTGATTGGACTCTAGGATACAATCAATATTAGTTATCTTCAAAATCAATTATTAGTCGAATGATGAGAGCTTCTTAGTCGAGTTGCATACTGATAGATTGAAATAAAAAGTCCAGATGCTCTAGATTGTGAAGGGATGTGATGCAGCGGTCAATGAGCCTTGGGAGTTCGAACATATAATCTAAGAAGCAAGAACCCAGATAAATTTAAAAACCAGAGCTCGGTGAGATTGTTGATGATTTATTTCAGTTCTTTGAGTTCTTTGGAATACAAGTAAGGCTGGCCAGATCTCATGTTATTCCATCAACACTTCTGCAGTTTCTGCTATTCCCCAACAATGTGCTAATTAAGCTCAAACACTTGAGTTTGGTAAATTTGAAAGGACTGCGGTAAGATAAATCTAGATGGATCAACTCTTTCAAAAGCCGCAAATGATTTTTAGGAATATACCTGAATAATTTGGTTAAGTAAGTTGCCAGCATCGAAACTTTCCATTTCCCCAGTTGACTCCGGCAATGCTGATAAGTTATTTACCAGGTTGAGGTAATTTAATTTTCAGAGGTTGATGATGCACTTAGGTATACTTAATTATGCATCAGCACAGAGTGTTGCCACAGTCCAAAGAAAATGACATATGTATCTTGTTAGGATTATTCATTAATTCTAGATAAATTGGGTGGCTTGCCGCAATAAGGGCTGCTACTGAAAGATTTAGATCGAGATATGGAATACAATAGTACAGAAAGAAATAGGAGAAACTGTTTGTTTTTCAGCCTAGATTCCCCATATTTTCAGTGTCAGGTTGCGGTTTTTCAAGTTTGAAGTTTGTTCTGACATTATTTGTGATATATACAGTAATGGCATTTGAAGTGCAGGAAATACCAAGACTAATCTGGGAGCTAACCAGGCCATGGCTATTGAAGGCTATTCTCAACATATTTTACCAGGGAAACCTTACAGTGCATATTTGGTTTGCATGATTCTAAAATCATCGAGATTGGGAAAACGCAAGTGCAAAATAGAGAATTAGAAGACACAATAATTTGGTAGACTTGCAGCTGTTTTTTTTTCGAAAAGGGAAATGACCCCGACCTCTGCATCATCATGATGCACACAACCATTAGACTTGTGTGTTTGGTTCACAGAAATTGAAAAAACACAGAAGCCCTAATAAATAAGGTCAAATCAAAGTCAATCACATGAAAAAGTGGTGGAGGATGGATATGTGTCTTTGTTTTCCTCCCGTATTTTTGATAGGCTGAATAAAATATAAATTCATATGACTAAGGCAGGGGCATATATATAGAACTTATATATATCTCTAGTCTTTGTTAACTCTTCTGATTATGTGACTAGACTACATAATTCACACTAAAAGAACGATGGGAAGTTCTGAATGTGCAAGTAGTTAGACGACATTGCATTCGCAAATAGGTTACTCTTGTATGATCCAAAGGAACCATCCCTCAAGTAAGAGCAGAGAGTAACGCTTGTTGCATCATGAAATATATGTGGCATTTCAGAGCTGTTTACCAATTCATTATCATGTGTCAGTTTTTAGTACACTAAATGCAAGTGAAGAAAAAAAGGTCTGCAAAGTTGCAGAATGAGTACTGGTGTGGTGGCGATTGTGTGGGTGTGGTGGCGATTGTGTGGCAAGACAAGACAACAACCCATCCAATCATTGCAATAGCATCCTCTCTCCGGCGTAGGAAGCATTGTATCTCCTCCATGAGACTGCTGGCCTGAAAATGTTCCGCGGCGCACAGAATTCAGCACCTCTTCCCCATCTAGAGTATGCCCATCCGGTTTGATCGCCCTGTCGTGTTTCTCGTCCTTCCCATTATTCTTCACAAACTACTGGAAGAGGAAAACACACATACTAAGGTATTACGGCCTGCTTATGTTTCTCCCTGTAATTGCTACAATGCTCTGTTTGTTTTTCTCCAATATTTCAAATTGCTTGAAGGCTGGATAAATGGGTGCCCAAGTATGAACTCATATCATGTTTGCTTTGACATCCTAGCTAAACCAGGGGTATATATAGCCTTCTATACACCAAGAGTCTCCGGTATCTCTTATGGGGGGAAATGTGAGCATGGAGTATGTGTTGAATGAGCAGACCATCCAGCAACTGTTTATCATGTATGAGTAGGCTGCGCGATCATGTGATCATTCTATTTTGCATGTTTCGCTTCCAAGTCCTTGCCTAAAACAAATAAAAGAAGAGTATTGTATTTGGTTGGAGAGAACTCACACTAAAAGGATGTCGAGCAGCAATTGCATTTGCAGACAGGCTAGAGCAACTCACGGATTCGCTATACACCCCTACCTCAATAATAACCGTCAATACAAGTAGTACAAGAACATAATGTGCATGTTTGGAAGTAAGAGCAGAAAGTAATCCAAGTCTGTTGCATCATAAAACATGTGTGAAATGGGTTGGGAATCGACTAATTTTAGCTAATTTTTCAGCCCCTTTCAAGAACAGCATTTCATAGAAAAGAACACCAAAGAAAGTGGGTCACGAATTGGAAATTGTTAAGATTAAATCAGGGGTGTATCCAGTGGGGGTTCCATGGGTGCCATGGCACCCCCTCCAAATGTGCAAAAAAACATAAAGCCAATTTTGGGTCTATTTCTTATAATTTTAATGATATTTAGACCATATTATAATAAATTTTAGTTTACTTTTTAGAAACCTTTAAACAATGTATTGAAGTTATGTTATTCATACATTGTACATATGTATTGGGTGAATTTCAGGCAATCTCAGAAGTTTCCTTCTCCGGGGCGGCTATTTGCTCCGTGGATCACGGTCGCCGGCGTCTTCTGGTCTACATCGACAACTTTCTGGTAGTTGCTTCTACAAGCTCCTCGGTTTAAACAACTTATCTCCACTGAGACGGAGGCTTAGAGAAATTTTTTTATGGCAAAGTGAACCTTATTAGGAAGCAAACACACTTAATCATTCAACAAGATTTTTTTTCAGAGAGAATCATTCACCAAGATTGATGAACGAAAACCAGTGAGATCACCAAGTACAAATCTGTAACAAATAAACAAAGTAATCAAAGGTCAAATTCCCCAACATACATAAGAACATAGCTAGCAGCCGCCATCAATAACATTCTGGTATTGTACGCACCTAAAGCAAATTATGAATCGATAATACATAAGGAAGTCACTAGTCAAAGGTCAGATTCCCCCAACATATATAAAAACATAACTATTACTCCTATGTATAGCCACCATCAATTCAATTAGGCTACTGTACATAAACAAATCACAGTCTCGGAAGAGCTTGGCTAACTACAAATTGCTCTCAAGTTCTGCATCATGCCGCCGTCGCTATACACATGTATCACAAAATTAACACAAAGTGTTGTCTGCTCGCAATGATAGATAGAAATTGTTGTGTATATGACTGTACAAACCCTCTACGAAAATGATGCCGGCAGAGAGATTAATTTTATTCCTCGCTATCTAGTCAAATAAATATTTGTGGTCACCCAATTATTGTTGATCTGCCGTCAGCGGAGTTATAGCTGACCTTGGTATGATAGTTTTGTAATTGCAATTCGATACGCCTTGATAATCATTTATTTAATTCCCTGATGAAGTCTGCTGGACGAAATATTTGTTTATGACCTGCGCGTATATATTAATCACCGTTCACAAGGGTTCATAGAAAGAAAACTCAACTTATTCAAGTATCCAACTCACACGGTTAGCTAGTACTCCATGATTACTAGCTAATCCATGTACTTAATTAACCTCTCTGGTTGACCTTGTAACTACACACGTACAACCACCCGGCAGGGTGTTGTATTCTCTATATATATGCACACAACATCTTCTTCCTTCTCCGAAGAGTTAGTAGAACAAAGCATTCATCCATCCTTCCAAACTATCCCATCTTCCCCAACAACTTGTACACTTCTCCATGCCATGCCTCCTCTCATCTACACATTACTCGGGCTTCTCCTCCTCTCGTACGCAGCTCCTCGATGCTCCTCTGCAGGCGACACTCTCATGGCAGGCCAAACTCTCGCGGCCGTTGGTGCTGGTGCCGGCAAGCTCGTCTCAAGAAATGGCAAGTACGCGCTCGGCTTCTTCCAACCAGCTACAATGATTGCAAGCACCATGAGTAGTAGTAAGTCCCACCACAACACCAGCTCCAGCTCTAGCTGGTACTTTGGCATATGGTTCAATAAAATTCCAGTTTTTACTACTGTGTGGGTTGCTAATAGGGAGGAGCCCATCGCTCATCCCAATATCAACTCCACACAGCTCAGGATCTCAAGTGACGGTAATCTTGTCATCATCGTACACCATGTTGGTGCCGGCACTGAATCCCTTGTCTGGTCCACTCACATCGTCAATAGGACACAAACCACCACCACCACTACAACCCTTGTTCTCCTAAACAGTGGAAACCTTGTCCTCCTACCCACAAACACTAGCCAAGAGATGCCGTCGTGGCAGAGCTTCGACCACCCAACAGATGTTGTGCTTCCTGGCGTCAAGCTTGGCTGGGACAAGGTCACCGGCTTGAGTAACACGATCATCTCAAAGAAGAGTCTCATTAATCCTGGTCTTGGCTCATACAGTGTTGGACTAGAAGGTGCCATGGGAATGGTCCTCAAGCGCCGCAACAGCCCCTCTGTAGTGTATTGGCAATTTGTGTCCTCTACAACGTCAACATTGGTACCAATAATCCGGTCACTGGTAGATTTGGATCCTCGGATTAAAGGTCTGGTTAACCCAACATATGTTGATAACAACCGAGAGGAGTACTACATGTACACTTCACCGGATGAATCACCACCTTTATTTGTCTCACTAGACACCTCTGGTCAAATAAAAATGATGTTTTGGTCTCAAGCCAAAAAGACCTGGGAAACCATAGGTGCCAACCCTGATGGTCGCTGCATGACGCCTGCTACATGTGGTCCTTTTGCAGTCTGCAACAACAATGCACATATATTATCTGAGTGTATGGAGGGCTTCTCTCAGAAGTCACCACAGGATTGGGAGTTTAATGATAGAACAGGCGGATGCATCAGAAACACACCATTACAGTACTGCGGCACTAGTGAGAAAAACATGACAAGTTCAAAAGACATGTTCCGCCCGATTGCTCAAGCTACATTGCCCTACAAGCCCCAACTAATAGCCCTTGCTTCAACTCAGACAAAATGCGAAGAAGCTTGTCTTAGCTCTTGCTCTTGCACTGCTTATTCCTTTAACAATGACAAATGCTCTGTCTGGTATGGGGAATTACTTAGTGTAAATATGAATGATGGCATTGATTTTACAGCTGAAGATGTTCTTTACATTCGCCTTGCCGCCAAAGATTTAAGTTTTAGAAAAAATAAAAGAAAACCGCATGTTGGAGTTGTTACTGCGGGAGCCATTATTGGCCTTGGGTTACTAATGCTCATGGTGTTGTTATTGATTTGGATGAAGAAATTCAAGTGGTGTGGTTTTCCTTTATACGGCAATCAAGATAATGGTGGAGGGATTATGGCCTTCAGATTCACAGATTTAGTCCGCGCTACTAAAAACTTCTCAGAAAAGCTAGGAGGAGGTGGTTTTGGTTCTGTATACAAGGGGGTATTAAATAACTCAACTAGTATCGCAGTGAAAAGGCTTGATGGTGCTTCTCAAGGAGAGAAGCAATTCAGGGCCGAGGTGAGCTCAGTTGGACTCATCCAACACATCAACATAGTCAAACTGATTGGCTTCTGCAGCCAAGGTGATAAAAGGTTACTTGTATATGAACACATGTCAAATGGGTCTCTGGATGGCCATCTGTTTAAGAAGAGCAATGCTAATGGTGATATCCTGAACTGGAACACTAGATTTCAAATAACCCTTGGAATTGCTAGAGGATTGTCCTACTTGCATCAGAGTTGTCGCTAATGCATCATACACTGTGATATTAAGCCAGAAAATATACTTTTGGATGCATCATTTGTTCCTAAAGTTGCAGACTTTGGGTTGGCGGCATTAGTCGGACGGGATTTTAGCCGAATTCTAACCACATTCAGAGGAACTGTTGGTTATCTTGCTCCGGAGTGGCTTAGCGGGAATGCTATTACGCCAAAAGTTGATGTTTATAGCTTTGGGATGGTACTTTTGGAAATCATATCAGGGGCTAGGAATTCATCTGGAACAGACAACACTAGGAACAACTACTCTGCTAAATTTTTCCCAATTCAAGCTATCCACAAGCTTCATGGGGGTGATGTGCAGAGTTTGGTGGATCCAAATTTGCATGGTGACTTCAATTTAGAAGAGGTTGAAAGGGTTTGCAAGATTGCATGTTGGTGTATCCAAGATAATGAATTTGATCGACCGATGATGGGTGAAATGGTACGTGTTCTCGAGGGTCTACAGGAGATTGACATGCCCCCGATGCCAAGACAACTTGCGGCTATGACGGAACAATATGGTGCAACCTCTTCAATATACATAGTAAACAGTCACAGTCGATGTGACTAATTGTCGTTTCTGCAAATTATAAAGTGTTATTGTGGAGCAGAAGGAACAAAAGAAGGCAAAACTTGGAGTTCCTAATTCTTTCTTATTTATTGCCAATTTTAGTGTGCAAGCACTTGTAGAAAAAGTATTGCATGTTGAATTGAATATGTGTATGCTTTCTTGATGGATGGTATTATCCCTTAAATCCTTGAGTATATATGTATGTCACTACTAGTTCTTCATCAATAATGGTGTTTAAGCTTTGTTGATGGTTTGTAATTGATCGTCTCTCGGAGTTTGAGAGGATGTCTAGTGTTGAGCTTTTGAGCCAAATGTAATCCTTCAGACTGTTTTTTTATGAGGAACTGAAGGATCAAGATGATTGAGTATAGGGAATAAGCAATTGTAAATTTACTTCTTCCTTTTGCACTTTAGGCATTGCAGATAAACCGAGGCATGCAGAGACAGAGATGTACCAACTTCCTTGGAGAGAAGCTAGTCACTGTGAGAGAGGTGTGGGCACCACCAGGGTTTACCAACGCCACCAAGACTCACCTTCTTCTCCTTGAGCCTCTCACACAAAGTAGGAGCTCAATCGCTAGTTCAGACTAAACTTTATTGTATGGAAAGGGGGGAAATGGAGATTACCCAGCAGTGGCTTCCGGACCTTAGTAGACTCCGGAGCCTATGTTACGGATGTTACTTATTCTTAAGTTCCAACGGAAATCATGGTGGCCCCCCAAGTGCAAGGGTATGTAGCGAGAAGTAAATATCCCTCAATTGAGAATACCCCTCCGATGAGAATCAAAGTATCAATCTGCGGAGTTCTCTAACGAGTCAATGGTCAGCGCTACACTCAATTAAAAAACTTTCATTTGGTCCCCAACACTTCTTGAGCTCTTGCATAATTGTACTACACATGGTTTTCTCCATAATCTCCGCCACATCTAAAAATTATTTCGGCCTTCACCACCGGTGCTTGTTAATGATAGCAAGGTTGACCGTTTATTGAGGCATAACAAGAAAAGAAATCTCTTTGGATCCAAGCAAATACTCTCATAGATGTCTTGTAGAACCACAGTGTGAAACCTCTTATCATGAGCATCATTTTGATTG